CAGGTGAGACAGATCCTGGAATCCGACTTCTCGGAAGGAAAAACTAACGAACAGCCGATATCGCAAGACGATAGGAAGTTCATACGCAAGGTAGAGCAAGGAATTCGTCAGAGACAAGACGGACACTACGAAATGCCTTTACCGTTCCGCGAAGAAGAACCGAGTATGCCTAACAACAAGTCTCTTGCATTACATCGACTAGCCAAACTCAAAACCCGGCTCGAGAATAACGAACAGTATCGTAAAGACTACGTTGCCTTCATGAATGATTTAGTATCGAAAAAATACGCGGAAAGAGTTCCTGAAAAGGAGCTTCCAAGGGACGATGGACGCACATGGTACATTCCGCATCATGGGGTGTATCACCCGAAGAAACCCACAAAGATGCGCGTAGTATTCGACTGTAGTGCCAAGTATAAGGGCGAGTCACTAAACGATCACCTACTACAGGGTCCTGACCTCACCAACCAACTGATCGGCGTGCTGTGTAGATTTCGCCAAAGTCCAATTGCGTTTATGTGTGATGTGGAATCAATGTTTCACCAGTTCAACGTCATCGCGGCCCACCAAGACTTCCTGCGATTCCTTTGGTGGGAAAACGGAGATACAACCAACCCCCCGGTAGAATTTAGAATGACGGTCCACCTATTTGGAGCCGGATCATCTCCAGGATGTGCGAACTACGGCTTAAAGCAGATAACCAACGACTACGAAGAAGAATTCGGCACAGAAGCAGCGAACTTTGTTCGAGACGATTTCTATGTTGATGACGGCTTGAAGTCAGTCGACTCAGTCTCGGAAGCCGTTTCGCTGATTAAGAAAACCAAAGACCTATGCGCCCGTGGTGGATTACGTCTCCACAAGTTCGTTTCAAACTCGAAGCCGGTGATAGAGAAGATCCCGCCCAACGATAGAGCCTCCGGTATAAAGAATCTCGACCTTCTCAAGGACGACCTGCCAATAGAACGAGCACTTGGCGTGGAATGGTGCATCGAGTCCGACTCCTTTCAGCTAAGAGTGAGCCTGCAGAACAAACCTCCTACCCGCCGCGGAATCCTCTCCACTGTAAGTTCCATCTTCGACCCGATAGGATTCGTAGCCCCTCTTATACTTCAAGGAAAGCAATTTCTACAGGAGTTATGTCGCGACGGAATCGACTGGGATGACCCAATTCCCCGAGCAAATTCGACTACGATGGGAGAAATGGCGTAACGACTTACTCTTGTTGAGCGACCTGGGCGTCCAAAGATGCTATCGACCAGATGGATTCGGAGAGCTAAAGTCCATCGAGCTTCACCATTTCTCAGACGCGAGTACCTCGGGATACGGTCAGTGCTCGTACCTGCGATTAGTTAACGAGGAAGACAAAATCCATTGTTCGTTCGTCATGGGAAAGGCTCGAGTTTCCCCGTTGAAGAGCGTCACGATCCCTCGCCTGGAATTAACGGCGGCGTTAGTTTCCGTGAAGGTAAGCAACCTACTTCACCAAGAGCTCAATTACGAAGGGATCGTCGATATATTCTGGACGGACAGCAAAGTAGTGCTTGGCTATATAAATAACGATGCCAAACGCTTCCACACATTCGTGGCGAATAGGGTACAACAAATTCGAGAGTGCACTAACCCGAACCAGTGGCGATACATAGAGAGTAAGGAGAACCCAGCAGACGAGGCGTCACGAGGATTAAGTGCCCAAGAGCTGATATCCAACCCTCGGTGGCTATCCGGACCAGCGTTTCTATGGAATCCCGAGATCAACACATCCACCACCGAAAGTCCGCCCCTCTCGGAAGACGATCCCGAAGTTAAGAAAGTAAAATCACTCGCCACGCAAGGAACGACCGAAAACGTGTCAACGATTCTCCAGAGACTTGAATACTTCTCCGATTGGCACCGGGCGAAAAGGGCCATCGCAGTTTGCCTGAAGCTCCGAAAGCGTCTGAGAAGTTGTACGACAGATCGAGAACAAGTTAAATCCGAGACACGCACCAATTCGTATCAGCCGGTAAACGTGGAACAGTTGCGACAAGCGGAAGTAGAAATTATGAAGGCGATTCAAACGGAAATGTTTCCCGTAGAGATGGAACTCCTGCGTCGTTTGAAATCCAACCCCACGAAAAGAGAAGACGTCAAGGATCGTAAGGCAAGCTTAAAGAGAAACAGCGTATTATATCGACTAGATCCATTTATCGACAAAGAGGGACTCGTAAGAGTTGGCGGACGAATCAAACGCGCCGATGTCCCCTTTCACGTGAAACACCCCGTAATCCTACCGAGAAAGGGACACATTACATCCCTCATAATCCAACATTACCATCAACGAGTCAAACACCAAGGCCGTGGAATCACCCTGAACGAGATTCGCGAGGACGGGATTTGGATCATTGGTGCAACTTCTGCAGTGGCCCATCATATCGCCAAATGCGTCACGTGTCGGAAACTTCGTGGTACCGTATCCGAGCAGAAAATGGCCGAACTTCCCTACGATCGATTGCAACCTGCGCCACCGTTCACCTTCTGCGCCGTTGATTACTTTGGCCCGTGGCACATTAAAGAAGGTCGGAAAGAGCTAAAGCGGTACGGCGTTTTGTTTACTTGCCTATCATCTCGGGCGATTCATCTCGAGACGGCGAAGTCGTTAGAGACGGATTCCTTTATCAACGCTCTGCGTCGTTTCCTGGCTCGACGCGGACCCATTCGTCAGCTCAGATCAGACCAGGGTACAAACCTAGCAGGTGCTCGACGCGAATTGAAAGAAGCCTTGCAAGAGATGGATAAAGAGAAGGTGCGATCATTCCTACTGGAAAAAGAATGCGACTGGTTCGAATTTCTAATGAACGTGCCCTCCAGCAGTCACATGGGTGGTGTATGGGAACGGCAGATACGAACGGCGCGCAACGTTCTGAATGCCCTCCTCCTCGAGGCGGGAACTCAGTTGGATGAAGAGTCACTGCAAAGATTCATGTGCGAGACAGAGGCTATTGTAAATAGCCGTCCCCTAACCGTGACTAATCTTGGCTCTCCTACCGACGCGGAACCCTTAACCCCAAACCACCTCCTGACAATGAAATCGCGAATACTACTCCCACCACCCGGCGAGTTCCAGCGAGCAGACAAATATCTAGTGAAAAGATGGCGACGAGTCCAGTACCTTGTCAACCAGTTTTGGTCGCGTTGGCGTAAGGAGTTTCTCAACACTTTGCAAGGAAGGCAGAAGTGGAGCAACCCTCGTAGAAACTTGCGTGTAGGCGACATCGTTCTCATCAAGGATGATAACGCGCCTCGAAACCTTTGGCGAAAGGCTCGCGTTGACGAAGTTTACACGGACGTAGATGGTTTGGTGCGAAAGGTCAAGCTTATTGTGGCAGATCCTCTGTTGAACGAACGCGGAAAACGAAGTCGAGTTGCGACCATTTTGGAACGTCCTATTCAGAAGCTAGTTGTACTTCTTAAAGTCGAAGACACGGAGAACGTTGAAGAGTGAAGATTCCCCGACAAGGAGCCAACTGTGAACTATTGAACATTATCGTCGTTGTTATTATATTCAGTTATGTTAGTGGTAAATTATCGTAATAGACAATTTAGGGGAGCCATGTAACTGCGAACCGTATAAGGGCATATTAGTGCTCAGGCCCCACAAAAAACAATACGTTTTAATATACCAACTTGAACTTATGCGAACTTTTGCGAACTGTAGCTTACACGAAGGACTTATCTTAGTGATATTATTGTTAAAACATTCGTTTTACGTCAAGTTTAGACGTCAAGTTTAGACGTATGTAGAAGGATATTAAAGGTTAGATTCAACTTGCGTTAACGACTTACGACTATTCTTTAATCCTGGATGTCTCGTCTTGCTTGTCAGTGTTTATGAACGAATGAACAATCCTAGCACATGCGTCTAATATCACTAACGAAACGCTAGGAGTTACAGCCACTATAAAGGGTTAAACAAATTAAAAAAAAATTTGCAATGGTCTATATTGAAAAAGCTCAATTTGTAAATTTTAATTGACTTTAATTAATTAAATTAATATAACTACTTATACTTATAGCTACCTTGCCCCAGTCACTTCAAGTGAATTCTACGGGAGGAGGGGGATATTGAAAATCCCTGGGTTTACTTGGTAAAAGCAAGAATTGAACCATGCATTACATGTATATGTAATGTATATTTAAATATATTTTATCATGCAAATACCTTGATAATTGTTCTTAAACGTCTTTGGCTTAGAATGGGTACACCCTCCAAAGGTGTTTATTTACAGGGTCCAAAGGTGTAAATATACACTGTCCAAGGTGTTAATATATAAACAACAAAAACAATGTATATAATTAAATTTTATTAAATAAAATGTGGAATATTTTACAAATTGCATTACCATCCCAAAGTGTACATAATTTATCAATATAATTAGGACTTAGAAGCTGTTCACATGAGTTTGACTCTGACCCAGCACCCTTGGCTAGCTCCCCTTGCCTGATCACAAGTAGAAGACCTCCAACCCCCTCTGACAAATCAGTCCAGATCTGCCCAAGAGGCAGGATTTTCTGGAATATTATTAGCAGTGAAATTGTTGCATATTTTCAAGCATGCATTGTAACCTGATTTTAAAGCCTGTTTGAACATCAGACATTGTGGCAATGGCAAGATGGTCCAGTCATATGAATACAATCTTAAAATATCATAAAAACAATGCAATTTAAGGCCAGACAGCCCAACTCCTGCGAACAGCCCTTTATTACACATTCGAAGCATCTCTTGAGGCATCAAAGTACTGTACATGCAGGCACATGGAATTACATACGAGTATGTGACAAAAGCCCACCATTGCACAACTTTGTCTGCAACAATGCAAATACAACAAATGCAAAACAATCAAGCTGGAAACGGATTTTATCAGTATTTTGATATATACATTATGGCTCATGTCTAAAGACACCTGCACTTTCATATTGAAATTGTTCCACTATCATCCAAACAAAACATCAGAAAACTGTAACATCAGCCAAATGAGCAAATCACTTTTTTAACACAATTTATGGTAAAATGAAGCAACATGTAATAGTATCTGAAACAAAACCAAATCACATATTATGCAAAAGTTGTAAACACTGTTGCATATATGATATAACAAAATATCGTCGCATTTCTAGTGGTAACTAACTATAAATTAGGCCAATTTAAACTCGACTATGAAGAATATCAAAAACTAAAGGTCATGTTTCAGTTTATAAACCCAGACTTTAGCTTTATAAATATAAACATTTAATATAAACGCTATACGAAGCCAAATATGAAGGCACATTTTGCCCTAAATACTCGGTCAGAGCCTCAGAGGTGTGTTCTAGTACACAATTAATCTTCTCTCACAGTTTAAAACAAACAATAATACTAACCTTCGACAAATTGTGTATAAATCTTATCGAATTTAACCATTTTGCCACAGATTTTGCCAAAAATATTTCTTAGACGGACAAAGTATTAATATGGTCACTCCTTGCATGAAATGTTAATTTATCCCAAAGTTTGAATAAATTAATCCAAGATTGCATTATTTGCATAATAATGTCATTGTCATTGACCAATCAGAATACATAGAAGACCGGCCGGTGCCAGGGCCTTTTCCCGCCTTCCCAATGACAAAAAGGGAAAAGCCCTGGGAACGAGGTTGGATATATTTTATCAGTAGTTTTTACAAATTCATAAAAAGTACATCTCAAATAGTTCACTAAATTGTAGGAAAAGTTTGTTCGAGGTTTTTTATACATGCAAGCCTATTTGAGCCCTGCAGGCAAACTGGGAACGTTATTTCATAGCCATGTTTCCTGAAGGTGGACAAACCATGGTTAAGGTAGAGGAAACAGCACAAATACAAATATTATTTTATTGGATTAAAAGTATAGTAAAACATATGATACATATACATTACGAAGTAACTATATGGTAAAATATATACTATAAAATATATTCTTACGACGTTACGTTTTACAGAAAAAATTGGTTAAAAGTCTAATTAAACTAGCTGTACAGTTGCGTTGGACAAATCAATGATAGTTTAAAAGTAACTATTTACAAGAAAATAATTAAATAAAACAATTACGAACATTATAATAGATAGCAGTGTCATATCAACTATATAATCACTTTGGAGCAAACTTTTACGATGGATTAAACGCTCGTATGTGAAGTTGTAATTATATATTATAGTCAAAAGTAATTTCCTACTAAAAATATTTATACAACATAAAAATATATCAGAGAATGTTATATGCAAGGCGGTTCAGGAAACATTGTTTCCTAGCCATGTTTCCCAAAGCCAAAGGTGGCCATACCAGGAAACATTGTTTCCTAGCCGTGTTTTTCAATGGTGGCTAACCAGGAAACAATGAAAGCTAGTCATGTTTCTCGAAGGTGAACCAAACATTTTTGCTTCCCGGAAGCGAATTTTGTTTCTGCATAACAGTATGGGGAACTGGGATAGTTTGAAGGATCACAAAAGGTTTCCAAAACAATGTTAGTTAGCTTTAGTACTGTAAAAAACTAATCCATTCGCTGACGATACATATAGCTATATCGTTATAGGTTTCGTACAATGCACGAGTTCAAAAATAAAAATACTGATCTCCCAGTTCTAATTAAAACGGTTGTGTAAAGGCGACAAAGTGAGTGTTTTAAAAGATGTTGGGGAAAATACGATAGCGAACACGCTTGCAATACTCCTCCCAAGTGAGGCCGTACTTCTCACGACAATGTGCTTCAAAGCGGCAACTTCGGTACATGAGAAGGATAGTTAGGTACACAGGGTACAGATAGGGAATGGCGTGAGTGAAACCTACATAAGAGATATCAAGAAGAAATATTTAGTAATAGGTTCAATGCTTCGAGTTACAGGTGTACATGGTTCATAGCAAATCACAGTTCCTCATTGAACATTAAATAGACCTCATAATGACGTCAATGACCATGCAATGAGAATACCATCACTCACCGCAAGTCAATGACCATGCAATACCCATGCATGAGAATACCATCACTCACCGCAAGTCAATGACCATGCAATACCCATGCATGAGAATACCATCACTCACCGCAAGTCAATGACCATACAATACCCATGCATGAGAATACCATCACTCACCGCAAGTCAATGACCATGCAATACCCATGAGAATATCACCAAGGTAGTTAGGATGACGAACATAACCCCACCATCCAGAGATCAACAAACGACTACCAGGAACGAGTGTTGCCATCGACTCAAGATCTACAAGAGTACAACATTTCTGTGTAACATTGAAACTACAGTAAAGCCCCGGAGGAACGAGAATTGACGAGAGTCGACGAGTGTTGCGATTCACTCGTTTTTGACCACCCGCCATACAACTCTCGCGTGCACTCTCTCATCAATTTATGTCATTTATTTTTCAAAAATAAATTACAAGATTTCATTCGTGAAAATAATTCATTTCTGAATAAATTTTCAAGTTGCCAATAACTGCTAGAACATCTTTTGCAACTATAAAGCTGTTACTTAAAGTGTAAGTTTTTTTATGGAATATTATGTAATATTTTACTTACGTTGAACAGCTGGGTGGCTTGGATTTTGTCGAAATAGATCCTTCTGCAAGTTCGCCACACGGTATATAATAAAACCAACAGCTGCAAAAAAATTAAGAGGTAAAACATAGGTCTTCATAATTCTCTACATGCATGAGCGTTGTCTTCACAGTCGATGAATTACATGTTTATTTCAGTTATCTGAGTGAGAAAATAATGTTCACTTATCTTTTTTAAAAATCTCGTATAGAGGAGTGCCTTAGGTTAATTTGGTTGCTCCACCGAAACGTTAACCTAAAGTGTCGTTTCCCTTAATCCTTATGCAGATGACACAAGATTAAAAAAAACACTTTACAGCAACAAGTCCGCCTGGAGTTACTAGTTACTCCAGACAAAGGGTCTTCGCTCGAAACGTCGAAATTCTCCTTATTTTTTTCCAGGTAACTGCATCCCTACCCACGAAAGCTTGTTTATATATTATTGACACTACCTACACTACTGGCTCAGACACTTCAAGATGATCGAATAAAACTACTCTGGGGCCGGTTGTATAAAAACGTAGTTAGCGGTAACTGTAGTTAGCGTTAATCACTGTAGTTAAATCCTTAACTCTAATTAGTTAACTACATGACTTAACTGCGTTGCACAAAACGTAGTTAGTCGGATAGTTAACTAATCACGTAGTTAACTGTGCGTGGGGCTTGCGTGGGGCGTTTAAACACAAAATTACATAAAGTAAGCAGCGAGTAACGACCGCTGACAGACATTTTCAACATGATTGTGGACTCGTATTTTGCAAATAGGCGGGAATTTTATTCAAAACACTAGAAAACAGTGAAAACTAAACAAAAAATAAAGAAAAACCGCCACAAAAATCATAAAAGAATGCAGTTTTTCCTTGAGATGTCTACGTTAAACCAAGGTATAGCTGTTTGGCAATTATATATCAGTGTTTCTTGGTGTAATGGACCATACTTCGTCTTCGAGAAATCGTCCAGTGCAAAAATATGTTCTGTTTTCGTAAAAACACCAAAGCGATAGCGCTTGAAGAGTTTATATTGTCAGGAAACATTCACAGGGGAGATAGCGATTGAAAATCTCAGGTAACCGTTGCTTTTCATTGTTGTTTTACTGAAAAATGTTGTTCACTCCTATACAAACGCCATTTTTAACTACGTTTTGGACAGTTAACTATACCCTAAAGCATAGTTAACTTTAACTACTTTTTAACTGCAGTTAAGGCTAACTGCACTTTTATACAACCGGCTTAACTACGTGATTAAAGTTAACTATTTTTTAAGGCTTTTTAACTACTTTTTAACTGCAGTTAGCGCTAACTACGTTTTTATACAACCGGCCCCTGCACCACAACTTCACGCAAACATCAGTTGAACTTACTGTTGAGAACAAAGACAAAAACAGCGAGCCATAAAGATATTTTGTGTGGATATTCAGCAAGGAAACGAGATTGAATGGAGAAAATGAACGGCACCCAGACGAGATCACCAAAGGCAAGCATGAAGCCAAATCCTTCGTAAGTTATATCTGGAGTTGAGAGCATCGCACCCTGGCAAGAAATTTTAGCATGTAATCAAAGATAGAAAAACAATTTAGACAACTGTAATACAGTTTAACTAGAGAGATCCAGATTTGAATTTCACCACCGCTATCTCTCACAGACTTAGTATGCATTTCATTGGTTAGTAACCTGGTAGAATAAACGCATCTGATTGGTTGATAATCGTTAGTGATAGCGGAAGTCAAAATCTGAACCTCTCTACACGTTTTGAGATAACCATCAGCAACTAAAATAAGCTACAACAACATTGATTAGAAATCTTTGTATTTCAAAAAACATTTGATATTAAACATCGAAATATATATTTTTAGTGATTGATCGAATGTGCAGCAATTGGGGAATTGCTGATTATTCATGCGACAATATACCCGATACCGATTTTATAATGACGTCATAATATCAGTTGACTAAGTAACGGTGACGTCATTCATCTCGATTTTTTAACGATAATTGCCAACGTAACATGTTACTATGTACAACCAAAGATCGCTTCACGCATTAATTTAACATATTGCGTTAAAACGCAACGTGTATCAACGTGAAATGCAATCGGTTTTAGACAATCGGAAATTCTACCGATAAGACAAAAATCCACCCAGTGCTGATACAGATTACTGGTCAATCACTATATTTTTTACAAAATTGCCTAAAATAAGATTGCAATGTACAATACCTCAAACCATAGCGCATCAACGATGTAGAGAAAATGGAATGAGCAGATGAGCAAGAGTGCACCGTTTGTGGCAACGTTGGTTTTCTCATACATGACTAACAACATTGCCAGGTCGATGATAACCTGGTTAAAACAACATTGGACATTACAATTATTGACAAATAAACAAAAACAAGCAAATGAATGCATGGCTGGATATTGAGGGAAGGTGGGCATCTCTTTTTGCATCTTCCCTTGAGAGAGGTTAAATGATAGATCAACTCATCAAAGTGAAATTTTTTACGCGTAAGTAACGCCGTTACTTAGAGACTACACTTGAAAAACTGATAACTATTCATCATCTCTGTATCAAGTGCCCTTTTAATGGAATATTTTGAAATAAACTTCTAAAGTAGTCATGTAATGAAGAGCAATATTGGACGAGTTGTACATTCATAGTTCATAAATACGCTGACACATTTGTGTACAGTACATGCATATGTAGTTGACTTTAATAAGAGGCTACATTCTAAGTCCTAGCATTCCATGGGGGCCGTGGGCCAGATACTGCACCTCCCCTAAAGTTTGGCCTGGAATGAATGAAATACTTATCAAGTTATGATATTGAAAAATGATTTTGTTTTTAAATTGGGTAACGAAAATGGTTTTACTTACAAGACCTATTAATCCAGGACGCAGTTCACAGAAAGACTTTATATCAAAGCTTCCAATGCGAGGATTTAACTGTCTGCCCATGAAGAAGTCATAAATAGGATTTCCTAAAAAGCAAATACAGCATGATAAAGTCGACATTATAATGTTGATAAATTATCGTGGAATTATTGCCATTGGTGCAATTTTGTAAACATGTATAAATATGGTAAAAAGAGATGTATATATTCTGATGATGTATGTAATATATGTAGAAATACAGCATTACACAACCTAGGGGTAAAATACAAATAAATTTTACCTGTGTTTCCCAGCACAGAAATGCCAGTTTTTTCAACATAACTTTTGATAAAGAGTAAAACACTCAAAATGAATGACAACAGCAGAGCATGTGTTATTAATCCTAAGAATTTCCCGTGTATTAACTTGGCAATTGGCAGTTTGAAGTACAGACAAGCGGCAAACGTTGCCAGGCTGATGAGGAGGGCGGAAAAACCTGTGAAGAAAATTCAAAATGCGTCAAAATGCTCCTGTTGTTGTGTGAATGTACAAAACACACATATACATGTTATTGAAGACGTACCATTTAGACGATATTTCAATTTTGTTCTGTCTTGCAGAGGTAATCCTTCAACAACCTGGAAATAAACTAGGTTAGATATCATAGAATTCCAAAAGCAACAGCACTGATAACTACAGGATTTAATGGCCCATCCGTCTATGATGTATACTTACTTTTCCCAGTGGTAAAAGGCTTAAGAACGCTTGGAACGCAATCCATCCGTAGATCATAGCTGCTGCTTCTGGGTCAAAAAATTCTTTGGCTGATGGTAACTTTATCTTTGGATTCTTCAAAATCTCTGAAACTCGGTAGCATTTCTTCTTGTTACAATATAGATATGTTACAAACACGACCAATGGCAGAGAAAGCATTAAAAAGAAGACACCAATAGGACCTCCAAATGCATAGCCATGTGCCTTAGAAGGCTTTCGTTCATCTAATCCTTCTCCGAGACCTTTACGAATGCCTTGAGTGTCGACGCCTTGTTTTTCCAATTGCTTTAAAGCAGATCGGGTCACTCTTGCTTCAAGTTGTTGTCCAACAGCTGTTCTAGGTGGGGTCTTGGACATTTTGGTTTTTGTTGTAACGGTAACAGTACCCTTCTCAGTTGCTGGTTTTTCATCCAAGTCCTTGACAACAGCGGATTGTTGAGAGGAAACACGTTTTGGGCGTCCTGGTGATCGCTGTGGCGACGATGGAGCCTTCTTCCTCGAGGGAGATTTTGACCGAGAGCGACGTCGTCTCCCAGGCGAAGTTTTTCGCCGTCTACTTGGTGATTGTGATCGACTTCGGAATCGAGCCTTTTTCTAAGAAAGAGAAGATAAGGGAGTAAAATCTATTTCTAAATACCATGCTAGTAAAATGTTCTAGGACATTGATTAGAACAATCCAGAAAAGATCACACTTCCCCCACAGAGGAAATTTCTGCTGTCTGGAGAGAGAAAGAGCTAACAGCATATATCCTAGACTTGGTTCAAGTCCGGACTTGGGACATTTGCAGCATTTAGAATGTTATACTTGCAAAAACTGGCGCAAAAATTTGTTGTTGTTCTCAACTCGCAAGCCATGCCTCCATACGAAAAATCAGACGGTGAAATTTGGCACGCTTGCAGGGTATCCAAAGTCTGTCTCTTCCTACTTTTCTCTCATATTTTTGTGCGTCTTTTGATTGCTCACATGCATCACTATTTTCAACCCCAAGTTGAGAGACGGACTTGAACCAAGTCTACATATAATTCAAGTATGAATGCTAGTTGGGCAAGGTAGAATGGGTCATTTCAGGAAACATCCATACCTCCCAAACAAAGGAAATTGGAAGTTAACCCTCATACAAATTTTTCTCCCCTCCCCCTCCAGACAGCAGAAATTTCCTCCTTGGGGGCAGGATGGATAATTTCTAGAACAACCCAATGTTAGATCACCTGCACATTTTGTGGAACAAGTAGACAATGCTGTGAGGGGCCAACAACCTACAGATCTTAACAAGTACAATCACAGACTTTTTCTGCAATTGCTGTGACAGTTTCACCCCTTCCCATTGCAGACAAGTCAGTGTGTTCTTAATGGGGGAAAATTTTTTATCCCAGTTTATATTGTGAATTATTTGCTGCCCCTTTCCATTTGTGAAACTGGTGTGTATTCTGTATTCTGATGTTCAGTATTTTATAGCATTGCATGTGTGTATTCAGTGATTACTTGAATAGAGTAAAATTTCCCAAAATGTACTTGTCACCGTTCCCAACCCAAAAAATTATAAAACCCAAGGCTCCAATCCTAGGTAAACTATGCCGCCAACATATACAGACATTACATAAAATATTAAAATGATCAGATTTCTTCATGTAGCAAAAAAAATCATAACTTCGATCACAAGTTTTAACCTTGTTCCTACGAACACAAGTGCTATATCTCAAATACTTCATATCCTTTCAAACTACCTTTGTTAAGGCAGCATTTATAATCTACTACCAGCTAGCGAGTCAATGACAAAGCCTTTGTCCAAAACACGTGAAAATTTTGCTACATCAAGTACAAAATAATGAGTGAAATATCCGATCATGTATTGCATTTGATTATATTTTGAACGATTTAAACATTCATACCGATAAGTGTGAGTAAGGGACTTCGTTTTCTTGACCATCAGGAAACCGTAGTTGAAATAGGTCGCCTTCATAGTTTGTCGATAAGACAACCGCTTCATACCATAAAGCACTGCCAGGCCATTTCGCCATTATTTCTTCTCCTTCGGCGTATGAAGTTTGCTTTGGCTTCGCACCTCTTGACATCTTGGCAATGCAAACAACGTAAATTTGAACGATTTTCGACCACTTTTTGCAAGATTTTTGCGAGCACCTCCCGTGTTTTCTCCGAGAAACAGGCTTGTCCTTCTAACGAAAATTTTAACGGTTAATAATCGTGAATTTTCAAAACGGCGGGAACACTATCCGGTGGATGTGATTGGGCAATACACTCACGACGAGCTCCGAAACTTTACGACCGTTAAACGCCGTCGCATTACGAATAATTTATGAATATTATTATTTACTATACAATTATCATAAACGCCACTAACGACAGTCATTATCTGATTGACAATTACATGGTTTTTGATTTTACCATTTTCCGAAAATTCTCAAAATATTTAGCAGATAAAATACAAAACAAATATAATTTTGGCAGATATTACAGTAAATATCTGATTTTGCACATATTGGAATCAACGTTTGGTCACGCAACTTCAGAGTATTGAGATAAATGAGTGTATTGACTATCGACACTTTCAAGGGCAAGGGCAAACAAATTTAATTAACCGAAATCTCTCCATTTTTTTGTGAACAAATGCAATACTGCTACATATAATGAAATAACATTATTTCAGTCAAGTTGACGACCATCTGCTACACAATCTGTGCACTGAAATGGACGCTATTAAAAATATGCAAATCAATATAATAGGTTTAAATTATAATTACAATGATTTTGCAATCAAAGATTTACAAAGATCAATAAAGATTTACCTCTCTAGAAGGCGCAATGAAATAGTTTCAAATGAAGAAATACAAAACAACACGACGTGCTTGTGCACATCGCAGGAACTGAAAGTATTTTAGAAAAACTCTTGATTAAACACTCAGTATATTTAAATGCTCAAAGCACGTGTTCACTGAAGCGAATTATTTCCTTTTCTTTGTTTCTATTCAAGTTGAACACGCCATGCTCACAGCTGGTGAAAAAACACCACATGTAAAAATGTCACAAATGTGAGCAGGCTGTGTTCTCGTACTGTTTGTTTCAAATTTTTCGACAGAGGATAACTGTTTTTCGTTACGCCGCAGAAGTCCAGCAGAAAGGTCCATTGCTTTTTACCCTCGCTGACTTTATTGGAACTTAATAATCACTACTGGCAGAACCTGAAGTCCTGAACAAAACTTGCATTCTGAAGTAATTTTATTAGTTATACTCCACAGCTCCCTTACTTCTAAACAGTTCTTCCTAGAGGTCAAAGCATGCATGGTTTCCACCCTTTAGTGAAGATGAAATTCAACGACTTTTCCAGGACTTCCAAGGAAGTTTTTTAGTAAATTCAAGCACTTAAAACTTGGAAGAATCTTTGAAAATGGCACGGATTTCACTTTTTGAACCACAACTACTTATTCAGAATCAGTAGACTAAATAATGTTCAAGTATATTATCAGCACAGCTGGAAAGAAATTCCAGAACTCTTAAGGACCTGCACCAATTTTAGGATTTTCCAATCTTTAGGTTTTTCAAATTCAAGGACTTTCCAGGATTTCCAAGGTCCATGGACACCCTGACTGTAAGCGGCATTCTTCTGTGGTGCAGTGTTACAAGTTACAACTGTTACTAGAGGAAGAAACTCGAGTACCAGATGAAAAAGAATGAAACTCAGACAACTGCATATTACTGGAATCAAATGGCAGTATAACAGTCGTGAAATGCTTAATAAGCACCAACACTTCACATGTTTGTAACAAGTTATAATTGCAACTGTCACAATTTAGAAAATCCTCAAAGATTAATGTATGCATGGTCAATAAATGTTTCTGGTGTTTAAAACACTTTCTACCAATATTATTTCGAAACAATAATATAATATAATAACATTCAACACATTTATCTGTAGAATACTAGAATATACCATACACAGCCTAAAATAATTCCTATAATTATTATTAAGAACGTCACGTTCTATGAATAGTGTTTAGCAAGAATAATTAATGAAAAATTTTACACAAAACGTCTTAGAAAACTCACACAAAAGATAGTAAATATGGATTAAATGTTTTGGTAAATACTAGATAATTATTGCCAATTTTATCATTTCAAACCAACGGGCATTTCACTCTGCATCCTTTTATCCACATTTTAAATATAGTCGGGTGCGAATGATCGAAGGATCTTTAGTCCTGTAATTTTTGCCAATCGACATGGCATTTGCTGACGTGATAGGCCATACTGAAAAAGTCACTTACTCAAGTTAAAATCAGTTTTAGGTACACATGACCTATAGTTTACTGTAATAGAAACTATATGACAGTATTCCATTGGTTGAATATGTATAGTCATTAATATGGTTTTACGATAAACCCTGTTTTTTATTCTCGCCCTGCAAGAACACGAGAGTCACGACCACAACAAATGACAATTTATAAACTAGCTAATAGTGAATATGCCATGTAATGCGTAACTATAATTAAGTGACTTTACACTATCGTTGTTTCTGTGATAACAGTGATTACAAATATTTCATAAAGTTCATGATTAGCTGGTGCAAAAATGCAACCAGTTAAACACTGCTTAATCTATCTTTATTTCCCAATCAGCGTTTACACTTGAATCACTGTCATCAAATTATAGTTTATTCCAAGAAACCTCAATAATGTAAAGCTGCCTTTCTAGTAGTATACGACCTAACAATGCGTGAACAGTGAGCTCCATTTGATTAATTTGAAAACTGGAGTGAAAACTGGAGTGAGGACTCGAGTCCAAAAAGTGAAGCTAAAGATGGCGGGAATTGACGTCCAGTGCCAGTCTCTTTCAATTGTTTTTGTCTGCTCGGTTGACACGAAGCTGCAAAGAGTGTGCCGAAATTTCATGTATTATGAATTGATAACTTGATTAGCGATATGATCCGATTGAAAAAACTAGAATTAGCTGGAAAAATGGTATGAAAACCGTTTACGACCTTCATAGCTATTGGACGTCAATTTCCGCCAACTTGGCTTCACTTTTCTCATAGACCGAATGACTGAAGTCCTCGCTCCAGATACATAAACAGCTCAGTGGATACTGTACGCCTATATATGGAAGCCCAAACTTACTGCTCCAATACAAAGCAGCAAAACATATATTCTGTTTTGGGGTTGGTTCTTAATGACTGAATTATTTTTATCCAAAATATAAGATCTTGATGAAGAATATTTATACATTTACTACCGCTGAAAATGCTGATATTGCTAAAATTCAAATTGGATTTTTAAAATACTTTACAATGAAAGGTACATTTATCTTGTTCTTGACAATTCTTGACGCAAGGCTGAAATATGATTGAAGAAAAATAAGAGTGAAACCGTTAAATAAAATATTCTGCTTCTAAAGCCCTGGATAAACTAGGAAACATTGCCGTAGAAACATTTGTGATTCTCGATGTTTCCTCAAATGTTTCCCTGTTTGCCCACCCGTGGAAACAATGTTGCGGAAACAAAATTTGCTTTCCGGGGAGCATTTGATGTTTCCCTATGTTTCTCACGCATGTTTCCTAGTGTTTGCCCACTCTGGGAAACATGGCGAAACATTGGCAGGAAACAATGTTTCTGCAACAATGTTTCCTAGTTTACCCCGCAGGGCTTAATAAACAGGTGCTTTACCTTGAATGATGTCGGCTTTTGCGGCATCCAGGTCTTTTCTGAATTCCGCTAAGATTTCCTGTAAGAATAACATCAAAATTAACCAGATCTTGTGCTGTCGTGGTCACCACACTTGTCTTCCAAGCTGGGAGACCCGGGTTCAATCCTTGCTCGGACCTCTACTCAAGCTCTTCAAATAATTGAGGAGATAGAGCTACCTTTACATTGACATCAGTAAATGGTTAGACTTTCGCGTCTTCTCGGATAAGGAGGTTAAATCGCAGGTACCTTGGATCCCCTATCAATTAGGCAATTGCCCTGTTGGGAAATGCGCTCACCAATGAGTGAGAAACTCAATAAACAAGATTACATCTAATAGTTTTGTTTGTGGAAACACCAAGTAAATTTATTACTGTAGTAATAAATTTACTTGGTGTTTCCACAAACAAAACTATTATATTTTATCACCATGCAAATATACAATGAACTTAAGATTACATCTATTCTTTGATATACCGACTAACGAGTCTCCTCTACCTTGCAATTCAAAAGATAATCAACAATATGGTTTTCTTACCATTTTTAATTCTTGTAATTGTGATGAACTTACTGCATCCGTTTTGCTGCAAAGGAAAAACACGACTTACTTAGAAAGAGATTTAAAAGCTAAATAAATCACGAATCACTTACGTATCTGATCTAGATGCCGATGGTTTGACTGGCGAATGATTTGACGTTGGAGGAGGAACGTGGTTTGTTTTTGATGACAGTTTATTTACTGAAACAGAAAATATTTCACATTTTGCATAAAATATTGTTTTAAAGAGGTGTTCGTATTAGAGAGGGGTTCATATTAGAAATGGGCCCGTATTAGAGATGTTCATATTAGAGAGGTGTTCATATTAGAGAGGTGTTCATATTAGAGAGGGGTTCGTATTAGAGAGGGGCTCGTATTAGACAGGGGTTCGTATTAGAGAGGTGTTCGTATTAGAGAGGGGTCCGTATTAGAGAGGGATTCGTATTAGAGAGGGGTCCGTATTAGAGAGGTGTTCGTATTAGAGAGGTGTCCGTATTAGAGAGGGGTCCGTATTAGAGAGGGGTCCGTATTAGAGAGGGGTCCGTATTAGAGAGGTGTCTGTATTAGAGAGGTGCCAACCTCGTCCCCAGGGTCTTCCTCGTGGTGGCGCGTGAGCTGAGGAAGACCCTGGTAAAATACGATGAAATCTCCAAGATTCTTGGAGATTTATCGCATGCGCAGTAACGACGTTATGTTGCTGACTACAATTAGCGCTGGCGCTTACGATTTTCTTGCTTAAAAATATACATGTTTTGTTGATTGTTTATGGATTTATTCTCAAAGTTTTAACAACTTTTACGAAAAATACTTCAGATATAAGCTGTGAACACACATGTACACAAAACTGTGCAACATTCATCATCATATTGTATCAATTTGTCGGAGTATGGCGCTCAAATTTGTGACATCGTTTTGTTCGCTCTGGCAACCCTCGTATATATCAGATGCTATTCGGCTTCAAATGCGACTGAATAAACACTGATAGTGTTGCCTGGAATATGAAATGATATTGATTGATTGTTCTGTATATCAAGGTACGTACTGTACATTTATACTGAATTTATTCGATTTATTTTCACACGTTGCTTTCGCATTTTCTCAGAGTCTCGGAAATCACATTTTCTAACACAGTTTCACACATACAGAAAGACTTCATTTCACACATGCAGAAAGACTTCTTCAGAAATCACAGTTTTTAACATACAGAAAGACTTCATATTATCTCATCAGTTAATAAAATTATGATAACAGTAGAAATGCTTAGAAAGATTTTATTCTGTTTTCCATATACAGTACAACTGTTATTTCGATTTTCTCTTTCCTATATTTTCTTTAAAGCAGGTACTGTTCTGTTACAAAACAACTAATAAACATTTTATTATTTTAACAGGTGAACCATATTTTACATGAACTTGGGAAAAAAAAAAACTTGAATTCCATGGAAATATATATAATCATGTCATCAATCAGATAGTAAACAATCATTAAGATGGCCTCAAGATTATATTTCACAGTGACCAACATGAAAAATTTTAAATGGGAGTTAGTTGATGGCATTATAGTTTTCTAATGCTATATAATTTTGTTCATCAAGGTGAAGAAACCTTAACTCACTATACCTTTTCCTGTTACAGAGCTATGGTAGTAATATTAGAAGATTTTCATGGTCCCTCTATTCAGTAGTTCTTTAACCAGTCTAGTATTATAATGCTATATAATTTTGTTCATCAAGGTGAAGAAACCTTAACTCACTATACCTTTTCCTGTTACAGAGCTATGGTAGTAATCTTAGAAGATTTTCATGATCCCTCTATTCAGTAGTTCTTTAACCA